CATTCGCGTTAACGCAGTTCCCGTTCGTCTCCTCATCATGGCGGAATAGCTTGAGGAAGAGACGTTCGTAAAAGATGACGTCACGCGCGTGGGCAGTCTTCTGACTGAGCAGGTCCAGGATGATCCATGCCTCATGCTCATGACTGATGCCGAGGTGGATCCCTCAGCGTGCTCGGCTCGCGAATTTCCCGATGGTTGACGTCGGCGAGCAGTATTGCACCATGCATCCCCACACGCAGAGCATAGATGTGTCCCCCTTGGTCCTGGTCCATTTCACGTGCGGCGATGAGTTGCAGGTGATGGAGGTCGTTGACAGCAGGTTGTGCACCCGCACGGCGTGGTGCATCGCGTAGGTCCAGTAGATCGATGGGAGCTTCGACTGCTTCATCAGTGCCGCACCTTCGTCATAAGCGTCCGGTTTGCCCGCTAGGCTACGCCTTGCTGCTGATGCGCGTATGGAAGGGAGATGTGATGCTCAATTCCCTTCTGCGCCAGGTAATCTCGCAGCTCCTTGCTTCTGAATTCTGCTACACCCTCTGATTGCCAGATCTTTAGCTTTTCCCCAGATTGCCTTTGCGCGTGCGCTAGCCAGAGGCGGAACACCTCGTATGCTCTGCTGCGCGCTTCTACGTTCACGACCCACACGTAACGTGTACCGGCGTCGATGAAGGTGAGGGTGTATAGCACGTCGTTGACTCCGGGATGCCCCACGTTCAGGAAGTCGCTGTACACTTTGTACAGCTTGGGGTAGCGATTGGTTCTCGGCAGGAACGGCTGGTGACTCAGTGCGGCTTCAGGGCAGACGGTGCAGCTGCGCGGGTGTGTTGTGCTTCTCATTTCGGTGTCGTCGGGGCGTAGGAGTGCGCCAGGGGCGAAGACGCCAACTTCGATGCAGTTTTTCAGTGTGGTGCGCGAGGGATGTCCGAGGCGCTGGTGCCAGAGATGATCGCTGGCGCGGAGTCTAGATGTGCGCATGTAGCGTGTGCGTGCTGCTTCGGGGTCTTCGTCGCTTGCAGCGGCAGGTTCTGTTGCTGCTTCAGCTGCTTCTTCGTCTTCGTCGCTTGTCTTGGTCAACATCAACGCCAAGAATTCTCTGTCGAGAATGACAGAGAAGGGGATATTGGTCCCAAGGATATTTCCGGGGACGAAGGTTGGTTCGCGCGGCTCGGGAACAAGTCCGTAGACAGTGCAACGTGGGGTTGATGGTTCGTCGCCCAAGTCGATGGTATCCCAGGGGTTGCGATGTGGACGCATATCTGGTGGGGGTAGCGCAGGTGCAGGACGGCGCGGGGGACGACCAAGAGGAACAACGCCATCATCTGCTGCTTCTTTTTCCCCCCTTTGGTCCTCGCGAGAAGGTCCCCTGCCTTCGCCGGAAGTGCCCCATCCGCTGCCTTCAACATCAAATGCGGCGCTCCAGCCTCCTCCAGTGGTGCCGACGGTGTCGCTTGTTCCCCATCCGCCAGCACTTCCCCACCCCCCTTCATTGGAGGCGCTTTCTTCCCCTTCGGTGCCCCATGCGGCGCTCGCAAATGTGCCGCGCGTCTCGGCAGGACTTTGTCGGTGAAGCTCCTCAGCTTCGCGGCGCGCCAGATTTTCTTCTTCTGCCATGGTCAGCTTCGTCGTGGGGTCGCACCATTGGGGGTAAAGCTTCAAGAATTCTTCCTTTGTGTAGGGGCATGCCACTCCGTGTGCGTCGAAGGTTCCGACGCTTGTACCGCGCAGCATGCCTTGGAGGTGTTGCGATGCTGAGCCGGAAAGGGGATGTTCTGGTGTTCAGAACACGCCGTGTGTTACAATTTTGAGCTCCAGGTTTGACGTTCCTTCTTCTGGCGGTGCGTGTCGCTCGGCTTCAGCGATGGCGACAAGACCACGGCCGACAATCGCGCTGGTTGACGCGGTGGGCGTGTGGCAGTCCCTGCAGATGCCGTCTGGGTCGGGATCGTGTAGCGCCAGCTCGCGTGGGTGAGGGTGATGCGGCACCCACGGTCTTCCGTCAGGGTGTTTCCAGTCCCTGCGGTGGATGTGCTCGAAGTGCGTTGGGATGAGATGAATTAGTTTGGTGGAATTGCCGCTGCAGTCGGGAATGTCGAAGTCAAGGACGTACACTGCGTTTTTAGAGTGTGCTCGTCCGATTTGCCTTCGTGGTGTTGTCGGCGATTCGTAGTGTAGCACGTTATCACGTGTGTTGCGGTCTGTGCTGAGTTCGACGCCGCAGTCCATGAGCTGTGCGGCGGAAAGCAGGTTGAAGCGCAGATTCTGGACGATGAGCATATCGTTTAGTGTGATGTGCGTGGGCCGACCTCGTGCTTTGAGCACGACGATGCCTTGCGCGTTTGCGCACAGGCGTGTGTTGTTCGCCACAGTGATATAGGTGGCCGTGGGAGTAGGAACGACAGCGTTGGATATGTAACGCTCGGACCCCACCATATGCTGGCCGCAGCAGCTGTCCAGGTACCACGTGTTGTAGTGCTTCTTGTCGTCACGTGCGAGCAGCGCAAGACGCGGCGTGACGAGGTATCGAACTCCTAAGAACTGCTCGCGCGAGAGCCAATCGAGTGGCACCGCCCGCGTGTCAGGCACGTGCGGGGGGCTTTCAAGCAGCGGGATTGGAAGATTCCAATCCTGGTCGTCGTCGTCGCTGTAATCGTGGCGCGTGCTGAACGGGTTTTTGTTTGAGAATGCGCAGATTGGGTGGGCGCTGGCACACGTGATGGGCGAGCGCACACGACGACGGCGGGATTCGCCAGTCATGGCCATGTTATCTATGACGTTGCATACTGGGACAGCCGTTGACGGCTACTGCTGCTGCTGCTGAACTGTCGGGTTCAGGTTGCGCGATGAGGGTTGGTGCCCCTGGGCTGAACGCATGTTGCCTCGTGCGTCTTGTCGGCCGGACTAGTTGCTCGCATTGGTCTGGCGAGGGCGAAATCAGAATTTGCATCGATCTGCCAAATGTCCGAAATGTTTGCAAATTTTTGCAGTAAAGGCGTCGCGGCCTTCGCTCTTCTGTGTTGTCGGCGATGAAGGCGAGGCGTTCTCGTTCTCGTCGCGGCGCTGGTCGCTGCTAGTCCATATCCCTCTGTTCGACGAGAAGGGCGGCGCAAAGGGCGGCCTCCGAGATGACCCCCTGCTGTCGGAGAAGCGCCTTGCAGGGCCGCCACTCTGGGCCGAGCCCTTGAAGCACGATGTTGACAAATATTTCCTCTGAAATCGAGCTTGCCAACTTCGCGATTTGGTCGCGGAGACTCCGACAGCGATTGATATAGCTATTGGCCTTCTCGCCTGGGGCCATTTTTTTCTCCAGGAGCTGCTGGAGCAGACGGCTCGAAGAGACTGAATCCTTTGGTTGGTAGACCCCATTCAGGTGTCGCCAGGCATCGAGGGCTGGAGCAGGGGATTCTTTGTATGATCGGATACTGAGCTGCTCCGCCGGCGTCATGTTCCGCAGGAGGGCACCGTACGCCATCAGGGACTCGTTGTAGTATCTTGCCCTGGCGTCAGCGGTGTCTTCGGCAGGTCCCGTGTAGCTCCCGTCGAAATAGTGAAAGGTCTGCGCGTTCTGCAGCAGAAGCTCCAGCTCGAAGCTCCAGGTATAGAAATCTCTGCCGTCAAAGCACACACTTGTCTTTATTTTTGATATGCTGAGAAACCTTGATTGCACAGAGAGAATTGCCTCTTCGCTGGGACGGGGAGTTTTGGGTGTTGAACCGTTTGTGTAAAAAGAGAAGGTGTGCGGGGCGGTATTCTGTCCGTTAGAGGTCGGTTGAGAGGGTTGGGAAGATGTTCCCGCGTCGCCATTCCGCAATGTTTGGGGTTCTTACTCTAGGTTGGCGAGTCGCTGAAGTAGTTGTTCGGGGACCGCGATGTCAATGGTTGTCGTTGCCTCGTTTGTCGCAACAGGGTTCGGCTGCGCTTCAGCCGTCAGATTTGTCTGACCACCAGATCCTCCAGCCATTCTCACTCACGACCGTGTGCCGGACACCACTTTTCGTTCGTCGAGACTTTCGTGCGGTGCTGGACTCTGGCGGAGCTTACAGCAGGGAGGGCGGCGCGCGGGGAAGAGGCGCAGAATTGCGTGGCGGGGAGGCGGAAGGCGGGCGCGGAAGCAATGGCGGTGGCGGGAGACATGATGGTGCAAGCGGCGGGGAATAAAAAACGGTGTCGCGGGCTATGAGTGAGCAAAAGAAGAATGCGAGGCTGGTCTGGCTCATAAGCGAGCGGTGATGCCATACGCGCTTGAGCACTGAGCACCGTTACAGTTGCAGTTAGCATTCTTGATAAACAAACTTGTAGAAATGTTTGCGAAAACTTGTGATTCACTTGATTTTCTCCTTAGGTCATCGTAACAATTACTATTTCACAACACGGATTGTTATGAGTTGTAAAAGAGAGTGCGCGGAATAACGAATAACGAGGCTTCGACTTAATGAACTGACAATACAATTTAAGGAATGCGATAATATAGCGGGTCAACTTAGCTAGGCAGGAACCTCGGGAACGCGAGGTTGGGTGCAGGTTGGGCAAGGGAAAACCAAAGGCGACTTGAGGTTGCTTCGGCAGCAAGCAAAGTGGCCGAACATGCACTTCCATAGCTGGGGTTGTACGCGGTTTAGTTAACCCCAGCAAGGAAAGGGGTTTTTCCTTACACGGATTACATAACACCACCTCTTTCGGTTTTGCACGCGTCACAATCATGTCACCCCATCACCAGCCAATACCTCCCCACTGGCCGAGCAGCCCGTAGCTCCCTCCTCGGACGCTTTCGCTCGCCCGAACACTCGCCCAGCCCCAAGTGTTCCGTCGCGCCCATCGATTTGTGCGTTGTCGCTGGTTGTTTGTCCATATCCGCGGTCTCGCCTACACCGGTCCGCCCTCCCGCGCGCGCCATCATGGCTTTACTTCGCGGCTGCTCCGCATCGCTGCTACCACCGCTGCACGAACGCGTCGCCTCGCCAGCGCCATTGCCATCGCGCCCTGTCCCGGCGACTCGGTCAACGATGCCGATCGGACGGCCATCGCGAGGCGTGCCGGGTAGCGTGTGTCACCCCGCCGCGAGGCGAGGCGGCGCCGTGGTGCGCACGTCGCTGTGGGACGCCGTGCAAGGTGAAGCGCGCGGTCAGATAGTAGGAGGGTTTAGGTATTGGCAGGTAGCACAGCCCGACGCACAGGCGGACGGACGGACGGACGGACGGACGGACAGTTTTCATATGTTCAATCCAGCAGTCTCTCCCTCCTCATCCCCAAGTCACAGCTTATGACGACAGAGCGGCAACAGCAGGGATGACATGTCACATGTCACATGGCACACGCCACATGTCAGAGAAGCTTTTGAAACACAGCGATGGGAAGGGCGGCACGTCATGATGGCCTGATATGTCGCTTCTGTTTCTCAACTACCACTCCCCTCGTCTCACTTCTGCCTGCTCCTGCCGCCCTCCCCTCACCCCCCCTCTCCATCCCTCCCGTCCTGCGCTCCCAATCCTGTTTCATTGGCAGCACTAGACGGCTGGGGCAACAAGGGGGAAATCCACACTGGCGAAGCTTTTGAGAAATTTCAAAAGCGACTCCAACATAGCTGGGGCAAGCAGTAGAGAGTGGCAGTGCGGGGGAGAAACTCCGCTGACTTTTGAGTCGACTCAAAAGTCACCTCGACTCAAAATTCTCAACATAGCTGGGGCAAGCAGTAGAGAGTGGCAGTGTGGGGGAGAAACTCCGCTGACTTTTGAGTCGACTCAAAAGTCACCTCGTTTTGAGTCGACTCAAAAGTCACCTCGACTCAAAATTCTCAACATAGCTGGGGCAAGCAGTAGAGAGTGGCAGTGTGGGGGAGAAACTCCGCTAGCGAAGGCGGGGAGGGGAGGGGAGGGGAGTGGAGGGCCGGTCAGTGCTGCTTATTCACGCCCTCAGAGCTCCGTCCCTTCCCTGTGCTGTGTCCCAGGCAGCAGCAGTGGCGAGGGGGAGGGACAACAGGGGCTGGCGGTATCAGGAGAAGGATTGCTGGGGTACAGCGATGGGGGGGGGGGGACGAAGGCTTTGAGGTTTGAGACGTCTTAAAACCGCTGGGGTACATACAGCGATGGGGAGAGCTAAGGCTAGTCCGTGCTGCTTTTTCACGCCCCCACTGCTCCCCCGTTCCCATGATGTCGCAGGCAGCGGCAGTGGCGAGGGCGGGGGGCAGCAGCAGTGGGGGCTGGCAGTGTCAGGGGAACAGCCGCTGGGGTACAGCGATGAGGAGGGCGAAGGCATCGTGCCTCTTACTGACGACGCAGAGGCGTTCGGCCCTGAGGTAGGGGTTGGGGGGAGTGGATGAATGATGCTGAGGTAGGTAGGTGGGGCGTGGGGTATAGGCTCGCGACGGGGAGGGCGAGGGCTTTGTACCTCTCTGATTGACGACGCAGAGGCGTTTGGGTTGGGCCTGAGGTGGGCGTTTGGGGGGGGATGAATGATGCCGAGGCAGGGGTGGGTGGAAGGATGAATGACGGGGCGGGGTGCAGCGACGGGGAAGGCGAGGGCTTTGTGCCTCTCACTGACGACGAGGCAGAGGCGTTCGGCCCTGAGGTAGGGTGGGTGGGGTGGGGGAAGAATGACGCTGAGGTGGGTAGATGGGGTAGAATAGAACGATGGGGGCACAAAGCCCCCACCGAGGGAGGTCGAGGGTTCTGTTCCTTCTGAACGGACGAGGCAGAGGCGTTTGGGCCCGAGGTGGGTGTGGGGGGAGGGGAGGGGTGGGGGATGGGAGGGGAGGTGGGAGGTGTAGAGGGTGGGGAAGAATGTGGAGTGGAGATGAAGAGGGAAGGAGGGGAGACGTGGGGAATGTGGAGTGGAGATGAAGAGGGGAGGAGGGGAGACGTGGGGAATGTGGAGTGGAGATGAAGAGGGGAGGAGGGGAGACGTGGGGAATGTGGAGTGGAGATGAAGAGGGGAGGAGGGGAGACGTGGGGAATGTGGAGTGGAGATGAAGAGGGGAGGAGGGGAGACGTGGGGAATGTGGAGTGGAGATGAAGAGGGGAGGAGGGGAGACGTGGGGAATGTGGAGTGGAGATGAAGAGGGGAGGAGGGGAGACGTGGGGAATGTGGAGTGGAGATGAAGAGGGGAGGAGGGGAGACGTGGGGAATGTGGAGTGGAGATGAAGAGGGGAGGAGGGGAGACGTGGGGAATGTGGACTGGAGATGAAGAGGGGAGGAGGGGAGACGTGGGGAATGTGGAGTGGAGATTAGAAGGGGGGGGGGTGGAAGGAAGGAAATGTGGACCGTAGGGAGGAGGAAGAGAGGGTAAATAGGGGACTGAGGTAGGGGTGTGATGATCATGACCTTAAAGGGGTGGGAAGGTTATGATCTCGTGGTTGGGGTGGGGGGGTGATACGAAGCCAAGGGTTACTCATGCTGGCCCTCCCATGCCATCCCATCACTGTGAGATGGGAGGTGCCCCCACAATCTACAAATGCATTATCCATCCATCGTGAGTGTTTCCTCAACAATCTCTCTGAGCTCTGCATCTTCCCATCTCCACCTGCTTCAACCCCCTCCTGTGAATGCATGCAGGCGTTGCTGCTGCTTGGCTTGACACCTGACGAGATTGACAAGGTGTGTGTGAGTGATGCGTGTGAGTGTCGGCGTGATTGCAGGCGTTGTTGCTGCTTGGCTTGACATCTGACGAGATTGAGAAAGTGTGTGTGTGCATGCGCGTGCACGTGCAAACACTGTCGATTCAGTTTGTAACCAATTTCCATTCCTGTTTCTCCGCATCCCTTCGTGTGCACTTTCCTCTTCACTCTCCTGTCTTCATCTCTCCTCCCTCGTTTCCCCTTCTCCATTGCCCCTCCTTCATCACCCCCCTTCACCCCTCTCCATCCTTCTCCACGCCTGTCCATCCATCCACGAGTCTCATCCTCTCCATGTATGCTGCTCTATTTCTTTCTTTCGTGCTGCACACCTCCCTCCGTGTGTCGCACAAAACTGAAATCACATTGAATAATGTGCCCAACACAACACCAGACCAGTTCAGCTTCGTCTGCACTGTCGTAGATGCTCACCCTCGCCTATCACCCCTCTCCCCCCTCGCCTATCACCCCTCTCCCCCCTCGCCTATCACCCCTCTCCCCCCTCGCCTCTCCCCTCCCCTTCCGGCTCCCCTCCATCCACCACGCACCCCTCTCGCCCCACGGCAGGTTCGAGCAGCGCTGGACGAAGCAGAGGCCAGCTTCATCTCGGTACGCCCCTCCGCTGCTGTTCGCCTCTGCTCTCTGCAGTGCTCTGATTCTATATCAAGATGTTACTTTCTTTGCTTTACTCTATGTCGGTACGCCCATCTGCTGCTCCCTCTGCTGCTCCCTCTGCTGCTCCCCTTAGGCACTGTTTCCTGTTTGTTCCTGGCTTTGTGTCTCTATTGGTTTTTTCACCCACTGATTGTGTCACCCACTTATTGTGTCACCCACTTATTGTGTCACCCACTGATTGTGTACTTTCTCTCACTGTATCCCCATCAATTCTTCTGAACCGCACTGAACTGTCGTGCCTCTCCCCATCAGCTGCTATCAGCAGACGAGTCAGTGGCGGACGTCACTCTGTGGGACGCCATGGAGCGGGCCGCCCAGCCCTTCCCCTCCGTGCCCGCGCCCTCTGTAGCCGCTGCCCCGCAGCCACAGGTGCGCTGCCCCGCAGCCACAGGTGCGCTGCCTGCTTCACCACAACCACAGGTGCGCTTTTTGAGTTGATGCAAAAGCCGCCCAGCCCTTCCCATCCGTGCATGCGCCCTCTGTAGCCGCTGCTCCACAGCCACAGGTGCGTCTGCTGCCTGCTGTGCGCTGCCCGCTGCACTCAAAGGTCGCCCAGCCCTTCCCCTCCGTGCCTGCGCCCTCTGTGGCCACTGCTCCGCGATTACAGGTGCTGCCTGCTGTGTGCTGCCTGCTGTGTGCTGCCTGCTGTGTGCTGCCTGCTGTGTGCTGCCTGCGGTGCGCTGTTGTGCCTGTCTCGTGAGTGTCTCAGATAAAAAATTTGCAGCCAGGGCAGTCATTAGTCATGTGCCATTGTAACGAGGTGACTTTTGAGTCACCTCAGTCATGAGTCATGTCATGCCCCCTCATCACCCCTGCATTTGTCGCCATTGCTTTTATCCCACCCCACTCCGTGTCAACAGGCGAGTGACAGCAGCAGCGTGTGGCCCAACAACGTGGGCGAGCGGGTGTGCATCGTGTCGGGGCTGTCAGGCATTGAGATCATGGACCTTGTTGAAATCATCAGCAGCCTCGGTAAGCTCGTTGTCAGGCAGAGTGGGCTGTCCGATAATGAGAGCCGGCAGGCAGTGCATGGCTGTGTGTCGGGCAGTGCATGGCTGTGTGTCGGGCAGTGCATGGCTGTGTGTCGGGCAGTGCATGGCTGTGTGTCGGGCAGTGCATGGCTGTGTGTCGGGCAGTGCATGGCTGTGTGTCGGGCAGTGCATGGCTGTGTGTCGGGCAGTGCATGGCTGTGTGTCGGGCAGTGCATGGCTGTGTGTCGGGCAGTGCATGGCTGTGTGTCGGGCAGTGCATGGCTGTGTGTCGGGCAGTGATGGCTGTGTGTCGGGCAGTGCATGGCTGTGTGTCGGGCAGTGCATGGCTGTGTGTCGGGCAGTGCATGGCTGTGTGTCGGGCAGTGCATGGCTGTGTGTCGGGCAGTGCATGGCTGTGTGTCGGGCAGTGATGGCTGTGTGTCGGGCAGTGCATGGCTGTGTGTCGGGCAGTGCATGGCTGTGTGTCGGGCAGTGCATGGCTGTGTGTCGGGCAGTGCATGGCTGTGTGTCGGGCAGTGCATGGCTGTGTGTCGGGCAGTGCATGGCTGTGTGTCGGGCAGTGCATGGCTGTGTGTCGGGCAGTGCATGGCTGTGTGTCGGGCAGTGCATGGCTGTGTGTCGGGCAGTGCATGGCTGTGTGTCGGGCAGTGCATGGCTGTGTGTCGGGCAGTGCATGGCTGTGTGTCGGGCAGTGCATGGCTGTGTGTCAGGCAGTGCATGGCTGTGTGTCGGGCAGTGCATGGCTGTGTGTCGGGCAGTGCATGGCTGTGTGTCGGGCAGTGCATGGCTGTGTGTCGGGCAGTGCATGGCTGTGTGTCGGGCAGTGATGGCTGTGTGTCGGGCAGTGCATGGCTGTCTGTCGGGCAGTGCATGGCTGTGTGTCGGGCAGTGATGGCTGTGTGTCGGGCAGTGATGGCTGTGTGTCGGGCAGTGATGGCTGTGTGTCGGGCAGTGATGGCTGTGTGTCGGGCAGTGATGGCTGTGTGTCGGGCAGTGATGGCTGTGTGTCGGGCAGTGATGGCTGTGTGTCGGGCAGTGATGGCTGTGTGTCGGGCAGTGATGGCTGTGTGTCGGGCAGTGATGGCTGTGTGTCGGGCAGTGATGGCTGTGTGTCGGGCAGTGATGGCTGTGTGTCGGGCAGTGATGGCTGTGTGTCGGGCAGTGATGGCTGTGTGTCGGGCAGTGATGGCTGTGTGTCGGGCAGTGATGGCTGTGTGTCGGGCAGTGATGGCTGTGTGTCGGGCAGTGATGGCTGTGTGTCGGGCAGTGCATGGCTGTGTGTCGGGCAGTGCATGGCTGTGTGTCGGGCAGTGCATGGCTGTGTGTCGGGCAGTGCATGGCTGTGTGTCGGGCAGTGATGGCTGTGTGTCGGGCAGTGATGGCTGTGTGTCGGGCAGTGATGGCTGCGTGTCGGGCAGTGATGGCTGCGTGTCGGGCAGTGCATGGCTGCGTGTCGGGCAGTGCATGGCTGCGTGTCGGGCAGTGCATGGCTGCGTGTCGGGCAGTGCATGGCTGCGTGTCGGGCAGTGCATGGCTGCGTGTCGGGCAGTGCATGGCTGCGTGTCGGGCAGTGCATGGCTGCGTGTCGGGCAGTGATGGCTGTGTGTCGGGCAGTGATGGCTGTGTGTCGGGCAGTGATGGCTGTGTGTCGGGCAGTGATGGCTGTGTGTCGGGCAGTGATGGCTGTGTGTCGGGCAGTGATGGCTGTGTGTCGGGCAGTGATGGCTGTGTGTCGGGCAGTGATGGCTGTGTGTCGGGCAGTGATGGCTGTGTGTCGGGCAGTGATGGCTGTGTGTCGGGCAGTGATGGCTGTGTGTCGGGCAGTGATGGCTGTGTGTCGGGCAGTGATGGCTGTGTGTCGAGCAGTGATGGCTGTGTGTCGGGCAGTGATGGCTGTGTGTCGGGCAGTGATGGCTGTGTGTCGGGCAGTGATGGCTGTGTGTCGGGCAGTGATGGCTGTGTGTCGGGCAGTGATGGCTGTGTGTCGGGCAGTGATGGCTGTGTGTCGGGCAGTGATGGCTGTGTGTCGGGCAGTGATGGCTGTGTGTCGGGCAGTGATGGCTGTGTGTCGGGCAGTGCATGGCTGTGTGTCGGGCAGTGATGGCTGTGTGTCGGGCAGTGATGGCTGTGTGTCGGGCAGTGATGGCTGTGTGTCGGGCAGTGATGGCTGTGTGTCGGGCAGTGATGGCTGTGTGTCGGGCAGTGATGGCTGTGTGTCGGGCAGTGATGGCTGTGTGTCGGGCAGTGATGGCTGTGTGTCGGGCAGTGATGGCTGTGTGTCGGGCAGTGATGGCTGTGTGTCGGGCAGTGCATGGCTGTGTGTCGGGCAGTGCATGGCTGTGTGTCGGGCAGTGCATGGCTGTGTGTCGGGCAGTGATGGCTGTGTGTCGGGCAGTGATGGCTGTGTGTCGGGCAGTGATGGCTGTGTGTCGGCCAGTGATGGCTGTGTGTCGGGCAGTGATGGCTGAGAAATTGTAAGAACAACCGATAGTTTCATTAGGAAGGGCATGGGTTTACATAGTTGAGCTAGGATGTAGGAGCCATGCCAACATTATTGGCCCCCACCAATAAGTTGGGTTGAGGAGTTATTGGGGGGACCAATAATGTTGACCAAAAGTGGGTCAACATTATTGGGGGGGCCAATAATCTCCCAACCCAACCTTGGGGGCCCAATAATTGGGCCAAGGTTGGGTTCCAACCTCAAACTAGGGTAAACCCTAGTTGTGCACCCAAACTAAGTTTGGGTGCCTATCTCTAGTCAAAGCGTATATGATGATGCAGGTTACAATGAAGATGGTAATCTGACATGTGTGTCGGGCAGTGATGGCTGTGTGTCGGGCAGTGATGGCTGTGTGTCGGGCAGTGATGGCTGTGTGTCGGGCAGTGATGGCTGTGTGTCGGGCAGTGCATGGCTGTGTGTCGGGCAGTGCATGGCTGTGTGTCGGGCAGTGCATGGCTGTGTGTCGGGCAGTGATGGCTGTGTGTCGGGCAGTGATGGCTGTGTGTCGGGCAGTGATGGCTGTGTGTCGGGCAGTGCATGGCTGTGTGTCGGGCAGTGATGGCTGTGTGTCGGGCAGTGCATGGCTGTGTGTCGGGCAGTGATGGCTGTGTGTCGGGCAGTGATGGCTGTGTGTCGGGCAGTGATGGCTGTGTGTCGGGCAGTGATGGCTGTGTGTCGGGCAGTGATGGCTGTGTGTCGGGCAGTGATGGCTGTGTGTCGGGCAGTGATGGCTGTGTGTCGGGCAGTGATGGCTGTGTGTCGGGCAGTGATGGCTGTGTGTCGGGCAGTGATGGCTGTGTGTCGGGCAGTGATGGCTGTGTGTCGGGCAGTGATGGCTGTGTGTCGGGCAGTGATGGCTGTGTGTCGGGCAGTGATGGCTGTGTGTCGGGCAGTGATGGCTGTGTGTCGGGCAGTGATGGCTGTGTGTCGGGCAGTGATGGCTGTGTGTCGGGCAGTGATGGCTGTGTATCGGGCAGTGATGGCTGTGTGTCGGGCAGTGATGGCTGTGTGTCAGGCAGTGATGGCTGTGTGTCGGGCAGTGATGGCTGTGTGTCGGGCAGTGATGGCTGTGTGTCGGGCAGTGATGGCTGTGTGTCGGGCAGTGATGGCTGTGTGTCGGGCAGTGATGGCTGTGTGTCGGGCAGTGATGGCTGTGTGTCGGGCAGTGATGGCTGTGTGTCGGGCAGTGATGGCTGTGTGTCGGGCAGTGATGGCTGTGTGTCGGGCAGTGATGGCTGTGTGTCGGGCAGTGATGGCTGTGTGTCGGGCAGTGATGGCTGTGTGTCGGGCAGTGATGGCTGTGTGTCGGGCAGTGATGGCTGTGTGTCGGGCAGTGATGGCTGTGTGTCGGGCAGTGATGGCTGTCTGTCGGGCAGTGATGGCTGTGTGTCGGGCAGTGATGGCTGTGTGTCGGGCAGTGATGGCTGTGTGTCGGGCAGTGATGGCTGTGTGTCGGGCAGTGATGGCTGTCTGTCGGGCAGTGATGGCTGTCTGTCGGGCAGTGCATGGCCTATGTGCCCCGCCCGTGCTGCTTCGACTCATCAACAGCAACCACAAGCAACTCTTTGGGCGTCTACACTCACTCTCATCTCATTCCTATCTCCTCCTCCTCCCATGCCCTCCCAGATATCCCCCCCATGGTGTTCGCAGCCATGCTGCCCAAGTCAGCAGCCAGGCCAGTGAAGGAGGTGGTGGTTAAGCATGCCAATCTTTCTCCCTCCTCTCCTGCCCTCCATCTCCCCGCCCCCCAGACATCCCCCCGATGGTGTATGCAGCAATGGCGCCCAGCTCTGCCACATGTGCCGTTAAGTCTGTGAACTCCTCCTTTCTCTGTTCCTGTCATCCATCTCCCGCCCCCCCAGACTTCCCCCCCATGGTGTATGCAGCAATGGTGCCAAAGTCAGCAGCCAGGCCGGTGAGGGAGGTGGTGGTTAAGCATGCCAATCTTTCTCCCTCCTCTCCTGTTCCCCACCCCCCTTCCCCCCAGACATACCCCCCATGGTGGATGCAGCCATGGTGCCCAAGTGTGCAGCCAGGCCAGTGGAGGAGGTGGCGGTTAAGCCTGCTAATCTTACCCCCCCCCTCCCCCTTCTCTCCTCCACCCTCCGATGCTCCCCAGACATCCCGCCCATGGTGTACGCAGCCATGGTGCCCAAGTCTGCAGCCAGGCCGGTGAGGGAGGTGGTGGAGGATCTGGTGGCAGACCACCGCCTGCTGTACAGCCAGTCTGAGTGAGGTCCACAGGCAATCCGAGTGAGGTCCACAGGCAGTCCGAGTGAGGTCCACAGGCAGTCCGAGTGAGGTCCACAGGCAGTCCGAGTGAGGTCCACAGGCAGTCCGAGTGAGGTGCACAGCTAGTCTCACTGAGGTGCGCAGCCAGTCACACTGACTGAGGGGATGCAATGCAAGGCTAGGCCAATAAGTCGTAAAGCTGAACACAAATTTTGAGTCCACGGTGCACTGAAGCACAGAGGTGAGGGAGGTGGTGGATAATCTGGTGCCAGACCACCGCTTGCTGCAGTCAGAGTGAGGTGCACAGCCAGTCCTACTGACTGAGGGGATGCTTTTGAGTTCACCATGCACTAGAGCACTGAGCATAGAATGCCGGTGGATAATTTGGTGCCGGACCACCACCTGCTGCACAGCCAGTCGGAATGAGCGAGTGAATGCTGTAAGCATTGAGTGTAGCTTAGGTTTGGCCAAGTGCCCATGTAAGGTGCTAGAAGATCAACCACCACAAGCTGTTACGGCATTTCTGGCTGGGTCCCTTGGTACCAGAAATTATCCTAGGTAACCATTGCTTCAACAGTTTCAAATTACAGTTCTGAACTGATTTTTTTTTTAAGAGGCCGGGCCGGGGCTTGTAAACAAAGAGTATTTCGCTCCGCAAGTGATGCTAAGCCCTGGGATTTATCCTGTGCAGGGGACACCTACCCAAGGAAATACTGAAGTAAATCAATCAAGCATCCTCATCGTCGTCCCCATCGTCATGCCCGTCCACCTCAAACCCTTCACCATCATCCCCATCCTCATGCCCCTCCACATCGTGCTCAAAATGCATGTCGTGCATGTGGTGGTGCTGCGAGGCAAAGCGCGAGGGGTCGCGCGGGAGGTGGAAGGGGCGGTAGTTGGGCGGCATGGTGAAGCCGGGGAAGGAGATGCTGTCTATGGAGAGGCCGCCCACTATAGGCATCACGTTCCAGTAGACCGTCAGGTTGAATGGGAGACCCCTCAGGCTGTTCCCCTGCCATGTGCGCATAGGAGAGAGACAAGGACACATGCGAAAGTGGCAGTTGGCGACATGAGAGAGGCCGCCCACTATGGGCATCACGTTCCAATACACTGTCAGGTTGAACGGCAGCCCCCTCAGGCTGTTCCCCTGCCATGTGCGAGACAACGAAAAGGACACACATGAAAGAGGCAGTTGGCGACACTTTCCAGTAGCCCATGGCAGACCCCTCAGGCTGTTCCCCTGCCATGTGCGAGTGAGAGACAACGACGCACGCGGAAAAGGGCGACTGACAAGGACGCATGCGAAAGAGGCAGTCAGCGACAAGAACCAGCGGCAGAGAAAGTACGTGGCAAGCAACACACTAGCTGGAGAGGGAAGAGCTCAGAGAGGAGGGAAGCTGAGGAGGGAGACAGGAAAAGAGTTGGGTGTACGGAACGCAGGGGGGCGAGCTGATGCAGGAGGGTAGATTGGTGCTGACCTGGTGCATGAGGGAGCACTCGCTGATCTCACTCGTGAACTGCAGTGACTTTTTAACTCAGTGAGTACTCTCTAACCGACCAACCACTCAGCAAGTGGATGATTCACAGCTGGACTCGTGAGGGGATTGGTGCGGACCTGGTCCATGAGGGAGTACTCGCTGATCTGCCTTGTGAATTGCAAGTGACTTTTGAGATCAGCAAGTACTCCCTTACCGACCAGTCGACAAGTGGATGATTCACACCTGGTCTTGAATGTGGATTGGTGCTGACCTGGTCCATGAGGGAGTACTGGCTAATCTCCCTCGTGAAGTGCAGTCGTTTTGGGCTCAGCGAGTACTCCCTGATTGGACAGCGCAGCAAGTGCATGATTGAAACCGGTCTTGAACATGGAATTGGTGCTGACCTTACCTTGTCCATGAGGGATTGGTGCTGACCTTACCTTGTCCATGAGGGATTGGTGCTGACCTTACCTTGTCCATGAGGGATTGGTGCTGACCTTACCTTGTCCATGAGGGATTGGTGCTGACCTGGTCCATGAGCGAGTACTCGCTGATCTCCCTCGTGAACTGCAGCGCTGCGTCCTCCTTGCGCTCCACAATGGCATCCCACAGCGACACCTGGCAGTCAATCACCCACCACCACGGCATGACATGGTATGACCCACCCACCACGGCATGGCATGGCATAACCCACCCACCACCATGGCATGGCATGGTATGACCCACCCACCACCATGGCATGGCATGGCATGACCCACCCACCACCATGGCATGGCATGGTATGACCCACCCACCACCATGGCATGGCATGGCATGACCCACCCACCACCATGGCATGGCATGGCATGACCCACCCACCACCATGGCATGGCATGCGCTGCAATTAGCCTTAGTGTCTGCTGAGATCCCACAATAGGAACTCAGAGATGACGCAGAGTGAACACGAGAAACAGCCACGTGATGAAATTAGTGTTTTGAGACGTCTCAAATCGCTGCAATTAGCCTTGGTGTCTGCTGAGGTCTCACAATAGGCTCTCAAAGATGACAGAGTGGACATGAAAAACAGCCACGCAATGAAGCTGGATGACGGACTGGATATGCGAGGCTCACCTGATTGAGAGGATGCTTCGGGGTTGAGAAATCTGCTGTGACAAACACAAACAGCTGGGGAAGACACAGAGGGACCAGAGATGACATCATGACAGGGTTGCATTAGGTGCAATTCACGAGCATCTTTGAAACTGCAGTAGCCCGTGAGGCAGGAGTGACAAGTGAGGTAGCAATGTGGTCAGAACATGGAAAGCTAGCAGTTGAGGCAAGAGCCAACACAGCGAGTTCCAACACAGCGAGTTCCAACACAGCAGCGTGCATGCTCCGTGAAAGCAAGGTAATGGCGTAGTGATGACGGGAAAGGCAAGGTAATGGCGTCGTGATGACGGGAAAGGCAAGGTAATGGCGTCGTGATGACGGGAAAGGCAAGGTAATGGCGTTGTGATGGCGGGAAAGGCAATGCAATTAGGTCAATCGCAGTAAGGTCAATGGCACATGTGGCTGCAAGCCGTGAGAATGAAGGAGAGTGAGAAGAAGCAAGCAACTCGAGCAACCTTCGCATGGCCTGCCCACTCAGACTTGCCCAAAGCGGACCAGCCAGTCAGGTGCACAGTACCAGCAGCAGCAACCATCCACCGCAGGGACGACCACGTAGCTTCCCAGCAGCAGCAACTGGCAGCTGGCCGCCACGACGGAGGGGTGCATGGGCGGGGAAGGGATGGTGTGTGCCGGGGGAAGGGATGGTGTGTGGCGGGGGAAGGGATGGTGTGTGGCGGGGGAAGGGATGGTGTGTGGCGGGGGAAGGGATGGTGTGTGGCGGGGGAAGGGATGGTGTGTGGCGGGGGAAGGGATGGTGTGTGGCGGGGGAAGGGATGGTGTGTGGCGGGGGAAGGGATGGTGTGTGGCGGGGGAAGGGATGGTGTGTGGCGGGGGAAGGGATGGTGTGTGGCGGGGGAAGGGATGGGCGAGTGGTGGAGAGGAGTGGGGGGCGGGGTAAGGAGAGGAGAAGGCACCTGCTTGGTGTTCCAGGTGAAGACAGACGTGAGGTTGGCCGTGATGTTGAGCGTCAACACGGCCTGGGGAAGGGGAAAGGGGAAGGTGGGAAGGGGGAAGGAAGAGGGGGAAGGGGAAGGGTTGGGAGGTGTGGAGTGGGAGGACGAGGAGGGAGAGCGGGAGGGATATGACTGCCCGGATGTTTGGGATGATGGTACGTGACGAGCTGACCACCCGTACCGCCATCACCACCCATACCGCCATCACCACTCGCAACGCCATCACCACCCGCACCGCCATCACCACCCGCACAGCCATCACCACCCGCACCGCCATCACCACCCGCACAGCCATCAAGGAGCGGAGATCTCAAAGCATACCTCATCGTTGCCCTGGAAGGGACCGCCTGGTATCCTCCAGAAGTGCTCCACGTCCACCAGCTGCACGCATCGCACGCATCGCACAATTCGCACAATTCGCACATAGTAAGGACTTTCGCTTCGATGTTAGCGCACGCTGCCTCTGTTTCACGTAAACGCAACTCTCGTTCAATTTCAAACTCCGTACGCGACGCTAAATATACACAGAATATAAATCGTTTCTTCGCGAAATTGAGCTGGTCGACCTAGATCGCATGCTCGAACCCGTCGCGAAAGAAAGACTCTAAAATGGTGCGACACTAAACTTCAAGAAAGACCCAGAGCGTGGAACAGCAAGGATGGGCAAGGAAATCAGGTCACCAATGAGGCGACACAGAACAAAGCTTCTCAGCGATAGTAGCTTTGAAGCTTCCCCCGTGGCATCGGCCAGCTCACGTCCAGATCGACGGTCGGGGAGGACGTGTGGAGGCGTTCGGAGAGCGACGCGAGCACGCTGAGGCCGATGAGCAGAAAGACGGAGAGCGTGACGACCGCGTTCACGCGGTACAGCCACGTGTGCATCGCGGCGAGGCAGGCCTCTAGGAGGCTCGTCGCAATGTAGCACGGCGAAAATAGTAGTAGGCTGGGATTGAGATTAGAACGAAGTCAGATAGATTCGAGGTGGTGGGGCTTCACTCGATACAAAGAGCCTGTGCTCGTTACAGGAGCGCAACCAGCAATGATGATGCAGTACAAATTAACGATCTGTCTGAAATTTTGCTAGGTATTGCAATTGATTTTTGTGGTAATGTAAGTATTCCTAATTTTCCTAGTCATAGTCGGGGGGTTGTGTAGAACCACCTCTAAAAACACCTATCATACCTGCATTATTAAAAAATACATTAAAAGGTCTTTTTTTTTTCAAAAAACAACCAGCTCTATTTTCAATGTAATTCAGAAATGTACTGTGAAGCTGTTGGAATCCGTGTAAAACAATGGTTACCTAGGATAAGCCCCCTTTTTAAAAGCTTACAGCTCCGGATAGAGGTGCAATTGTGGTTTAAGCCCACTTAGACCAAGTCATCTTTTTACGGTACTCATGAAATAACACTTTGCTGACGAC